TTTAAGCTACTTTGGCACCTGAATATTCTAATAGAATCTTCACTTAGGAATTCTGAACAGCTCTGGTACTTCCAATGCACTATGTACTCTAGCTGAGCAAGTCTGTAGACTGTAAGCCCCTTTCTCTGTGCTTTTTTCACTTTCCTGGCATAGATGCAAGATGGTAGGTGTTTTCTTGTGAAAGTCCATCACACATGATGAAGAAGTAGGGAATTGTGCATGATACTAACAATACATAAGATGTGAAGTCCATAAATTGCACAGAAATAAAAGCAATCCCTTTCACCAGTAGAGCCTTGAATTTAAAAAAAAAAATTCCAACTCCCTTCCAGCTTCATTCCTTCCTGAAACACATCCATTTCAACAATAGTGCTGGAGACGAAATATTTTTTGATGAGAACGGGGAGTTGGGAACTGGATATGATATCCTCAACACAGTCACCTTCCACAATCGGTCCATGCACAGCTCTCATGTTGGATGGAGTGACCCCCGAGCTCCCGAAGGGAAAGACTTCCTCATCCACCAAAATTCTATTTTGTGGAATCACAAGTTTATTCAGGTATGATTAACTAGTATTTTTCTGATCTTTCCAGGGATGTGTAAGTGGAAAGAATTCCTGTTGAACTGATTCTTTAGAATTGAGACCATGTTTAAATTGTTCTTTACTGATAAAATTATGCTAAACGATAATTTGAAATGAAATTTTAACCTATCCCAAATTCTTTGTAAAAGAAGGTAATCCTGCTGAATGAAAGCCTATGTACCAGAAGCATGAGCTGAGAAATCCTTTGTTGCTGTTTGCTGTTAAGTCAACTTTGTCTTATGTCTACACAATTAATATGAGACCTCAAAAAACCCTGATTATCAATTGTCATCAACTGCTCACACCTTGCAAACTTAGGGCTCTGGCTTCCTCAACTGAATCAATTTGACAATACTGTACTATGCTCCTTCTTTTTCCTATTGCTGTGGATTTTACTGACATACTCCACTCTATGAGTCAATGCACCTTATAAAAAGTTCCAAATACAAGAGTTGTGTCATTTTGGCTTTTCATTGGAGTTGAGGATCAATTTGACTGCTTTTTTGCTAAACAAAAAATGAGGAAGTAGATAATATGATAATGCAAAGTTTGATAATTCATAGAAGAAGTGTATGAAGGTTTTTGTTTTTCCTAACTGGAGAAATTATACATCAAGATTTACAATCACCACTGAGAATGTTGTAACTTTGTAACTTTTTGTCATTGTAACTTTTCTTTTTCTTTTTTCTTTCATTGTGCTCTGCTTTCTAATTTCTCTTTTCCCCATTCCCCTTTCTTCTTCAATGGATAATTTTGATTGTGTTTAGAAATTATACATATTTGTTTTGATTTGCTGTTAAGTTAGCTTTGATTTATGAGGACCCTATCAATAAGAGAACTCCAAGGGCCCTGGACATCAATTGTGTCAGCTGCTCAA